TGGAAAAAATGAAAAACAAACAAAACCTGTTCCTCCATCCAGGAAGCTGAGAATTGGAAGTGATCAGTAGTCTGGTGGTCTCCATTATCTGCTAGGCCAGGCCATATCAAGCTCCTACAACCAGGCCCAGAGGTGGCTAGTAACCTAAATGACCCTTACAGCCAGAGGCTCCCTAAGCTCCCACAACCAGGATGGAGATACCTGATGTCTAAATTATCCTTACATTATCTGTATAGCCAGAGGCTCCCCCAGGCTCTGACAACCAGGGCCAGAGGCAGCTAATAGCCCAAATGACCTCTACTCTATCTGTATGGTGGAGACCAGTCCAGATCCTTCCCTAGGCCCTTAAGCTAGCACAGATAGACTATCTCTAGAACCCATCTTCTTGGAAGAAATGACATGTACCCAGAGTTTCAATGTAATTACACTTCCTTGTACACTGGGGATTGTATTACACTGGGCAACTTGTTTACCAAATTGTACTGCATTTTAAATATACTGACAATGAATCACCTGGTATCAGACTCTTTGAAGTGTTGATCTAGGTTTATGAAGTCAGTCTGAATAGAGTTTTCATTCTCATCTCTTTGAAGTTCACTTCCCTGTCTGAACATCTGCAAACACCCCTCAAGACCTATCTCAATTCCACCCTACCACCACCACCACCCCCAAAAAGAGTAAAATGTAACAAATGAATATAGCTACCAGCTTAGTTCAGTCATAAAAATGAATTTATTTCTAGTGATTTTTTTTTTTTTTTTGGTTTTATGAGACAGGGTTTCTCTGTTTTGGAGGCTGTCGGTCCAGCCTGGCCTCGAACTCACAGAGATCCGCCTGCCTCTGCCTCCCGAGTGCTGGGATTAAAGGCGTGCGCCACCAACGCCCGGCTATTTCTAGTGATTTTAAACATTAGTATTTGTCTTACTTTCCTTAGGAATATACCAATGGGTAAAGAGAACTTTAAAAAAAAAAGTCATGTGTGGTGCACACACCTGTGGTCGCAGAACTAGGAAGGTACAGTCAGAGAATCAGAAGTTCAAGATCATGGATGCATGTCTAGTTCAAGGCCTGCCTGCCTGGACTACATGTTTCTCGAAACAGAACAAAATTGGGACTGCTGAGATGAGGGGGCTCAGCTGACAAAAGACACTTGCTACTCAGTCTGATGACCAGAGTTCCATCCCAGGGTCCCCATGGAAGAAGAAAACCAAGTTGTTCTCTTTTTTAGCTTTTGGAGACAGGGTCTTTCTTTTTCTGTTTTTTTTTAACATTTATTTATTTATTTATTTATTTATTTATTTATTTATTTATTTATTATGTATACAGCATATGTCTGTAGACCTGCAGGCCAGAAGAGGGCACCAGATTTCATTACATATGGTTGTGAGCTACCATGTGGTTGCTGGGAATTGAACTCAGGACCTCTGGAAGAACAGGCAGTGCTCTTAACCTCTGAGTCATCTCTCCAGCCCCCCAAGTTGTTCTTTATCTCCACATGCACACCCTGAAAAGAACACACACACACACACACACACACACACACTCAGCAATAATAGTTTATTTTAAAGAGAGAGAGAGAGAGAGAGAGAGAGAGAGCATGGCCTAGGGAGATGGTTCAGCAGGCAAGAGCACTTGCTAGGCAAGCATTAGACCTAAGTTCAGTTCTTCAGCTCCCATATAAAAAGTTTGGCATAAATCTTAGGGTTATTATTGCTGTGAAAAGACACCATGACTGCGGCAACTCTTACAAAGTAAAACATTTAATTAGGGTGGCTCACTTACAGTGTCAGAGGTTCAGTGTACACCAGGCTGGCCTCCAAATCCTGCCTCTGCCTCCCAAATGCTAGGACTAAAGACCATACACCATTATGCCATGCTAAAATAGTAAAATCTTAAAAAAATTTTTTGAACACTATTGGAGAAACTTGATTTATAAATCTTGTTTGTATCTTCATTCAATCATATGAACTACTGAAAAGTATTATTCATGCAGCTCAATGGTAGAGTTCCCATTGATCACCCCAGGGAACAAGTATAACTTGTCCAAGTTCCTAGATTCACTCTCCAGTCCTGGTAAGGGGAAACACTAGTATATACATTACTTAGATATATTTATATATAATAGACATAATATACTATGTATTATATGTAATATAATATACATATACTAATTAATCTATGGCTGGGGATGCAGTTAGCTGGTAGAGTGCTCTACTAGTATGTGTGAGGCTTGGGTTCAGTCCCTAGCACTTAGGATGGGGAGGCCTAAGGATCAGAAATTCAAAGTCATTGCTACCTGCATAACAAGTCTGGGATTTTATGTTCTCTAAGTTAATGAGAATTTAGGGAAAAACAATAAAATGGAATGCTGAGAAGATACTTTAGTCTACTGGCAAATATGAGACTCTGAGTTTGGATCCCTAGTACCCTGGGAAAACCCCTTGTAGGGGTAGGAGGAGATAGGTGGACCCTGGAATAAATTAGCCATCTAGTCTGCCAGTTGGTAAGTTGTCTAGATAGTGAGAGACCTGTGTTGAAAAACAATGTGGAGAGTGATAGAAAAGACGGCCAACCTTCCACCTCTGGCTTCCATGTGCACATATACATGAGTGCACATGTACATACACACTCACACAAACATATATATGCCACACACAGAGAAACACCAAAAAAAAGTTTTAAAAGATTTATTTGTATTGCTTTGGTTTCATAGGTGGGACTGCTGTTGCTACTTTGTGTGCGTGAATAGCATGCTTATATTTATTCACAGATAGAACACCAATGAAAACATCTGTTGAATTTCTTTCTGTATCAGCCATGAAATGGGCATTTCCAACAGAGCTTAGGTTTTGCTGTGAAGGTGTTCCGGTAGGACGGAAGGGCTATTGGCTGACATAGGTGGCAACGGGCAGTAACATTGTCTCTCCTCAGCCACTCTCTCTGCTGGGGACATGCTCTGTGCACTCCTTTGTCTGTGGGTTCTGACAGCAGCACAACTGCACTCTCAGTAACTAATAAACACTTCTACTCTGAAGACAACATTTTTAAATTAGCTCAGAAAAAATAAGAGGCGCCACTTCTCCATGGGTCACAAGGGCGAAGCCATGAAAAGGGAGTCGTGAACTCTGAGTTCTGATTGTAGTACAGCGGTCATGGCACCAAGGCAGTTCTGAGGAAGCCAGGGAGCCCGTCTGGGGGACAAAGCCCTGTCTGTTGCCTCTGGTGACAGAGAGCTCTTATGTCCTGTTCCCTGAGGTACTAGACTGGATGCTGTGCTTCACATACAAGCTGGATAGACAAGAAGGAGAATGAGGGCGTTCATCCTGACAGGACTATCTTCCTAGCAGACACGGGTACCGTGCAGCCCCAGAAAGGGTCCTTGCTCCTCCTTTTAACTTTGCTAGTTGATGCCTCTATGGTCCTAAACTATACAATCTCCTCACCCTTTGACCAAGCAATTCTTTTGTAAACTAATTCAAAAGAGGAGGGAAAACAGTAACAACAAAATCCAAGTTGATGGGCATGGTGGTGCATGCCTTTAACCCCAGCATTCGGTAGGTAGAGGCAGGTGGATCTCTCTGTTCTGCAAAGTGAGTTCCAAGATAGCCAGGGCTGTTACACAGAGAAACCCAGTCTCAAAAAACAAACAAAATCCAAGTTACCTCATTTCTATAGTAAGAAATAAAATAATGTTAAATTCCCATTGAAGAGGCAAAGGCAAGCAGATCTTTGTGAGTTTGAGGCCTGAGTGCTGAGATAGATGTCTATTATGCCTAGGTCTTTCAATTTTTTTATTATATTTATTTAGTGTGTATGTGGGTGTATGTGGGTGTGTTTAGGTCAGAGGCCAATCTGTATCCTTCTACCACATTGATCTTGTGGATCAAACTCAAGTCATGAGGCATTGAACACCTAATGAATGTCCTGTGAACCCCAGGACAGTTTCTATATGGAATATTTAGAGGTTTGCTTTGCTTCCAAAATGAGTGCTTTGTTAACAGAAGTTACAAGCCTAACACTTTTGTTTCCTTTAAGCTTTAACTTTACATGTTTTATTACGCTATTCTAAAAGCTAGCATTTTAACATAGAAGATGTTATTATAGAACTAGGCATGATGGTACATGCCTATAATCCCAGCACTGGGCAGGCAGCAGAGGCCGCAGAATAGAATCAGGAGTTCAAGACCATCTTCTGCTTCAAAACCAGATTGAGTTACATGAGACTCTGCCTCAACCAATCCCCAAAGGTTTTATATAATCAAAACTCATATATCACCTCTCAGTAGGCTTCGGATGATAGTAAAATGAACACATGAGGGGCTGGGAAATGGCTTCATGATTAAGAACACTGGCTGTTCTTCCAGAAGTCCCAAGTTCAATTCCTAGCATCCCCATAATCAGGGGAAGACACTTCACATTCAAACAAACAAAACACACATGTTTAAATTAACAGAAAAGAGCTAGAAAGGCAGCTTAGCAACTTGGCAATAGTAGTTATATGAATAGGGAGGGGGTTGGATGGGTGAGGGGAGAAGTGGTAAAAGTGGCCTGCACATTTCAAGAATAACTTTAAATTTAACTGAAAATGGAAAAGTAGGGCTCAGCATGTAGGTCACTGACAAAGCATCGATAAATCCCTAGGTTTAATCCCCAGCATGGCAAAAGTAAGTACAAGAATAAACAAAAATTTAATATCCAAAGTGAAACAACCACGGAATAGACTAAGGATCTGTCTGGTAGTGCAGTTACCTCGTGAAATGGAAGAGATCTCAACGGGGACCCAGTGAGAGACTGTGGCCATGAGATTCTGGCACTTTCTAAAGATGGCATAGTGCCAGCTGTGGCTCTAAGAAATAGGTCAGCCAAGTATACAAAGGTCATGTGATTTCCAGGACGCTGAAAGGGTCCTGGAAATCACTGGCTTCATCCCAGCCATACCTGTCTGGCTTTAGGGTGGGGCTATAGTGAATCTGGAACAACCTGGGGTCTTGCCTTCACAGAGGAAGCTCAGCAGGCAGAAGCCTCCCTTCCACCTTCTCTGAACAGCCTGTGGGGTCTGTGAAGAGCCGGACTGCAGCACCAGTCAGCGCTGGGAAGAAAGTTAAGAGCCATAGCCAGGACTGCTCTCTTCTCCATACTCAGCAGTCACGGGGTTAAAGGTGACTCTCATCCTTTTTGGTCTACTCTATTATGCTGTGTTATCTTTATGCTCCAAGATAGGGTCTTGCTGTAAAACTCAGGCAGGTCTCAAACTCTCAATCCTTCTGCCTCAACCTTCCCGGCACTTTGAGAACAACTGTATACCATGCACAGCAAGCCCTCAATTTAAACCTATGCAGAAGTTCAGGGCCAGGCCATAAAAAAGACTCAGACCAGACCAGCTGCCTGGAGGAAGCAGGAACTAGCTGTGCTGCTTGGAAGAGGTTGCTTGGAAAGGACACTCTCCAACCTGTCAAGCTGCCTGCAGGCTGTGAACCAGGTTTCCCAGCTTTTGTAAACTGGGGTGGGCCTTGGGATGCAGCTGTCCTTGAGTTGTTTCTGATTTTGTAAGTGACCCCTTACCCATTTTCCTGTAAGTAACCCTACTAAAACCCACTGGTTCTCCAAGTTGGTGGTACCTGTACTTTAGTCTGCCACAGGCTTCTATCTGGGATAAATAGAAGTGTATGCTGTGCCTCCCCAGGAAATGTTTTGTCATACAACAATATGAGTACAGTGACTGGGTGCTTTTGCAGAAAAGGAAGACATCATTTCTGGCAAGATCTAATTTAAAACCTAGCTCACTCATTATTATGATCAAAACTAATGAACAATACTATAACTGCTTGATATTAATTACAACTGGCAATCTTTACTGTAGTCCAATAATGAAATTAGGGGCAGAGCTACAACTGAATTGAACACATGCTTATTATGCTTGGATAATAGTGGGTCAATTAGGGATGCAACCGAAATAATGGCTTCTATTTAGTATTTAATTGGCACACCACTCCTGTAACACAAAACTGAGGTTCAGGAAGCATGAAAACTGACGACAAAGTTCTCAGGTTTAACAGCAGCCAGGTGCTGTGGCACACACCTGTAGTCCCCGCAATCCCAACCACTAAGGAGACTGAGGTGGAGGATTCAAGTTCAAGACCAGCGTGGGTGGGTGACAGTGAGATACTATGCCCAAACCAACCAACCAACCAACTAACAAGGATTTAAAAAAGAACTCTTCAGTGGCAACATCTTAAAAATAAGAAAACCCGCCGGGCATTGGTGGTGCATGCCTTTAATCCCAGCTCTCGGGAGGCAGAGGCAGGCAGATCTCTGTTTGTTCGAAGCCAGCCTGGTCTACAGAGTGAGTTCCAGGACAGCCTCCAAAACAATACAGAGAAAGCCTGTCTCGAAAAACCAAAAAAAAAAAAAAAAAAGAAAAGAAAGAAAGAAAAAGAAAACCCAAGGAAAAGTATTTGAAAACAGGTATCTTGCTATTGCCTTTATAAACTGCTCCGTCTAGTTTTATACTATATGATTGGTTTTGGCATTAGGAATTGAACCACTGAGCTATAGCCCAAACTGTTCCAGTCATTTTCAAGTATCTCCAGGACTGGCCTGTAGTTCAGGGTACATGGGAGCTTTGCATGAATGAGGTTCTGGGTTCAAGGCACAGCATCATTAATTTTCTTTTTTTTCCCAAATAGTAGTGGTGCATACTTTTAATCCCAGCATTTGGGAGGCAGCCTGGGCTGCAGAGTGAGTTCCAGGACAGCCAGGATTATACAAAGAAACCCTGTTTCAGAAACAAAACAAAAAATTTATAAAATGCATGTATTCATAAAACTGCGTAAACCACCTGCCTTCCTAATTTTACCATTGGATTTCTTTCTTAGGACAATAAAATTTAATTGTAGAAAAAAAGGAGAGAATTATGCGAACTGTTCACTAGTTCATTACATTGTTCATAAAAGTCACATATAGAGACAAATATCTAATCATTTTTAAAGTTAAGTAAATGAATGTATACTCACTAAAAGGACATATATATTATTTAGGAAGTGCACATGGTAACATTACTCTGTTTATTGATCCAGTTTTGTACTATGCTCGGCACGATGATGAACAAGATGGCAAGCTTTGCTTTTGCAGAACTTCTGAGTAACTGTGTAATTAATGTTCAGTAGAAGGGAGAGCATACAAAGTTCACTATGAACTTCATAAACCAAAGTGTAAGTGTTACAGATCTGAGGGGGAATGGTCTCCCCAATGAGTGTTTCAGCTATGAGAGGAAAGTTTCCCCATTGGGAGTGTTGCAGTTCTGAAGAGACCATATCCTGGCAGACAGAAGCCAAGAAATACCACAAAGTCACACTGCACTCCAAACCTTACACAAGAGATTTATTGGCAAAGACACAAAAGGGTGGCTGTCTCTGCTAGGGTGAGAAGCAGCAGAGAAATAAATGGGAGGCAGGCTTATATAGGATTTCTTGGGGGTGGAGTTTTCCAGGGTGGAGATTTCAAGGGTGGAAATTGGTGGGTTTTCAATACATGAGCTTGCTTGGGTTTTTTACCCTACACAAAGGCCACAAAAAACAAGTACAAGTTCAAACTGTAATGTTCATGATTCTTTGTCTTTTGCAGCATTCACAGCCTGAAGTTGGTAAGATGGGAGCTTGACCAGATACCTCTTTTAGTAAAATTCTTGCTAAAGAAGCATGTAGACCTAAGTTTGAAACCCAGGATCCATGTGAAAAAACTAAGCCTGGTGTTGTGCACTTGTAATTCCAGTGCTGGGGGCCAAAGCCAGGCAGATCCCTGGAATTCCTGCACCAGCAAGCATTGCCAGTGAGTTTCAGGGCAATGAAGAGACCCTGTCTCAGAAACCAAGGGAAGTGGGCCAGTCAGAGGCTCAGTGGGAAAAGATGATTGCTACATAAGCCTGGTGACCTGAGTTTATCTGAAGAACACACCCTTCATGTTGAACCCAGCTGGGGATGTCCATCCTTATAGGCAGAGGCATCCTGCTGACCCACTTGTGACCCTACTCAGTCATCTAGAACAAGGCTTCCATTGAAATCTCCCTCCCATCAGCATCTCTCATTCTCCTTGCTCTCTTAGTACATCCTGTGGGATTCAGGCTTCCACACAGGGCTCTTTCCCACAGTGATATCATGACCAGTTTGACTTTCTTTGAAAGGGTTCTCCGGGTTAGACCTCTTTTTTTTTTTTTTTTTTTTTTTACTGTCCAGAGAGGAGAGGCCTCTAGCCTGGCACTCAGGACAAAACAACTCAGTGAACTTTTTTCCCCTAGTGATTATCTAGACACTGTATTTCTTCCAGCCTGGACTCTTGTTTTTGTTTAGAAGGATGCTCTTCCTAAGGTGCCCTCCTGCCCAATCTACCGATAAAAATCGTATGTAGCCATGAAGGCCCATGTCTAACTCCCCTCAGTTTATCGCTTCCCGTGATCCCACCATGTGTGTTGGCTCACAGGCCATCCTTCGGATTCTCTCCATCACACTGGCTGTCTGCTTCTCTGCTGGCTTGTCCTTTGTCTTGTGCTCCAGAATCCCCTTTGCCACATAGACACATACCCATATACATCCCCCAAACATGTGATCCAAGCCTAAACTCTTTATCGATAGAGCTCATATCCAGCAAAACAGCACATAGCATGTATTCTGTGGATAGTGTAATGTTCTAGATGAATAAGTCAGAATTAAATATCAATCTCTTGACTTGATATGGTATGATATAACATTCCTGTTTATATTCTTTTGTTCCTTCAGTATTTAAAGCCCTCATCAAGAAAAACAAAACAAAACAAAAACAACTCACCTGGTTTCCATGCCATCTTCCAAATCTCACTGTCCAGGTAGCTGTGCATGGTACTGGCCAATTGGAATCCCAGGAGACAGAGCAGAGGTTGCTCAGTATGTGGCTTATTTAGAGAGCATGGTCCTCACTCTCTCCTCAGTAGAGCAGCCACAAGCACTCCGTCTTCCAAAAGAAGGAGTGTGTCCCAGATGGGTCTAGCAACTGTTAGGTCGCCATATCTGTAAAAGGTTGTATGTAAAACTGGAGTTGCCAAAACAAGTAGCTGAGCTAATTATCCTCTCATAATGGTTCCCAAAGCAACAACTCCCTGAGGATCCTTTGTAACAAGATCCCTTCCAACTCGCTTGGGAGGTATCATTTGCTTGTAACTGCCTAGCTGGGTATAAGTCATGGGGCTTTGCCTCTGGGAAAGTACCCAGGCAGCTAGCAAAAGCACATTGATCAGCTCTAGTGTCCCTGTAAGCCCCACTGGGGTACCCTAAGACTCCCCACATAAGGACATCCTGCTACAGGTGCATCCATCATATGTGGAAGGATGCTGATGCCAGAGAGGCCTGGCCAGAGAGGAAACAGAGGGAAAGCACAGGGTGAGGATCCATTATTGGAAATGATTTGGATCCAGCATTCTTTTGTCACATTTTGGAATATTTGCATATATATCATGAAATATCTTTGGAAAAACGCTCAGGTGTAAACAACAAATTTGTTTTGCTCCACACATACCTTAGACATAGCCTGAGAGTAATTTTCTACAATTTCTAGTACAGCTTCCTTTTAACTAGGACCCATCTACAAGTCATTTTATTTCATTAATTTCTTATGTGTATATTTTATTTTTTGAGAATGTTTTGCATGCATGTATATGAACCATGTGGATGTCTAGTGAGAAGAAAAGGTCAGATCCTCTGGAACTGGAGTTCCAGATGGTTGTGAGCTACCATGTGGATGCTGGGAATTGAACCAGGTCCTCTGTAAGAGCAACACGGTGCTCTAAACTGCTGAGCCATCTCTCCAGCCCCCACATGACATTTTAATATGGGGGTTTCCACATCAGCACTCAGAATTTGTTTTTATTTTGTTTTTTTCGGGACATGGTTTCTCTGAATTGCTTTGGAGCCTGTCCTGGAACTCGCTCTGTAGACCAGGCTGGCCTCGAACTCACAGAGATCCGCCTGCCTCTACCTCCCGTGCGGGATTAAAGGTGTGCACTGCCAATGCCTAGCAAAATTTGGTATCTTAAAGCAGTCTGGGTTCTAGATATTCAGATTAAGGAGGTTCAACCTGCACAGTTACATCCCTGTGTTCACCTAATGGAGACCTTGTTCTTCAGATAGCCAAGACCCAGAGGCAGAGACTGGAAGCAGAAGGTGAATGCTAACAATGTATCTTCATCTGCTCCTGGTGGCTATTACTCAGGTGCAGCACATACAGCGGAAAGATCTCTAGTCTACCAGAGTTCTGTCGGCAATCTACTCTGCATAGATTCACTGAATCACAGCTACTCATGGGATTGGCCCACACAGTTATTTGCTTGTTTTAGAGATAGAGATTTTTTAAATTTTTCTATTTATTATGTTGCAGTGCCAGGAATCAAACCTATGGCCTGGAAGAATGTAAGGTAATCAGTCTAACTTGGAGATACAGGCCCAGCTCTTAGAGAAAGGGTTGATTTTGTTAAGAATTCACTATGTAGATCAGGGTGGTTTCAAGTTTGTCATGAGTTTTCTGCTTCCCTAGTTAAAGTTTTACACAAGTCCAGGATATCATCACTATAACTCTGATTTTTCTTTTTTTTTGCAGCAGGGTTTCTCTGTGTAACAGTCCTCGCTGTCTTGGAACTTGCTTTGTAGACCCGGCTGGCCTCAAACTCACAGAAATCTGCCTCTCAAGATAATTCTGAAATTTTAGTATTTTATCCCTGAAACCAAAAGTCTGATGCCCCAAATGAAATTGGCAGTAAAATCTGATCTGAACTGATGTAAATTCACGATGATCCTTATTCTATTAGTGTAAATAACTGTACACTCAGTTGGGCACATATCTACATATTTAAATATAACAGTGGTTCTCAGCCTTCCTAATGCTGTGACCCTGAAATAAAGTTCTTCCTGTTGTGGTGACATCCAACCATAAAATTATTTTTGCTGCTACTTCCTAGCTGTAATTTTGACACTGTTATTTATCATAACATGAGTATCTGTGCTTTCTGACACTCTTCGGCAAACCCTATGAAAGGGTCGTTTGACCCCAAAATGGGTTATAACTCTCGGCTTGAGAACCACTGAATTATAGAGAACTGGTGCAATCTTCCCTGAAGGGATTCTATAATAATATGCATTACCATATTTCTGAAAAAACTAGCAATTCTACAACTCATAGTTCAAGGATTTCAGATGAAGGACTAGGGATGAAGTTCGGTTGGTCAAGGGCTTACTAAGCATGCATAAGTCTGGGACTTGAGCTCAGTACCACATAAACAGTGTATGACTCCTGCAATCTCAGCACTTGGAAGTAGATGATCAGAAGTTCAAGGTCGTCCTCGGGTACATAGTAAGTTCAATACCAGACTGGAATACATGAGACCCTGTCTCAAAAATAAAGTAACAACATATAGAAAACTGTGGACCTGTGAAATGAGACCTCCAGGAAGTGAGTGGTTGTAAGATGTGTTGTTCACACCCAAAATGGTACCTGGAGCATTTTTATAAGAGGAGCATCTGGTCTCTGGGCCCAAACATTTTACAGTGCATCAACCCTTACTCTAAACCATATCAGTCCTGTAGAAAACATTCACAATTGTTACACCTCTAAGAAAACACCAAATGTATGCTGGTCTGCCTGTATCTACAGGGCTGACCCTCCCTGTTAGCAAAGCTATGCCATTTCCTCTTACTGGTTTTCATATCAGTAAGAAAATAAGCAACCACCCAAAGCAAACATGCTCAAGTGTCTCTGCAAGTTTCCAGAGAAAAGACAATCAGAAGAGTGACTACAAAAGTGGACACAACTTCGTTTTTTGACTCTTCTATTTCCCTTGGAAGCTTTGACACAAGGAGTCATGGATGGCATTACTGAAGCATGTTAATTTTTCAAATATGGGGCAGGTCAGAAATCATGATTTAATTCTTTTCCCAAGCAAAACTTGGCACTGGACACAACTCCTAGAACACCTGAAGGCTTCCTGAAATGACATTTTTTTGACTGATTGGTCTACACGTCTTTCTGTTTACCAAGTACAGATGTGCCCATTTCCCTCTTGCCCTCTGTACCCAGAAAAATGGAATGTACTTAGAAATATATGAGTAACTGCTCCTATCAGAAGCAAAACATGTATGAACAGGCTAAAGGCATATTCCCAAGCAAGCTCATGAGTCTTGGCTCATGTCTGATGGAAGAATGACAGAAAGGGAACACACACATTGGGTTCTCCGTCTCATAAATTCTCCTTTATCACCATGTGCTCTTTGATGTGAAATCCTAGGACAAACAGGAAAATCCTCTCTGTGCTTTAGTAAACATCATTCTTGTGCTTAGCTATCATGTTGGTTGGTTTTTGTCAACTTGACACCATCCTATACATATCCAGGAAGAGGGAATCTCAACTGAGGAGTTGTCTCCATTAGACTGGCCTAGAGTCTGTGGGGGCATTTTCTTGATTAATGATTGGTGTGGAAGGGCACAGCTCACTTTGGGTGATGCCATCCTGGGAAGGTGGTCCTGAGCTGTATAATAGAGCAGGCTTCTTAGTTCATGTTATCGCTCCTCCCTCACTTCAATTATATGCCAGGAGCTTGGCCCAATGGTTAGGGGTGGATTTCTGCATCTGCTTCCATCTGTTTCTTGAAGAAGGTTCTAGCTTCTCTGGGCTGTCAATTGTAGGCTGAGTATTTTTGGTTTATGTCTGGTATCCACTTATGAGTGAGTACATACTATATTTGTCTTTCTGGGTCTAGGCTACCTCACTCAGGATGTTTTTTTCTAGTTATCTCCATTTGCCTGAAAATTTTAGGATGTCATTGTTTCTTACCACTGAGTAGTACTCCATTGTGTAAATATACCACATTTTCTTTATTCATTTTTCAGTTGAGGGACATCTAGGTTGTTTCCAAGATCTGGCTATTACAAATAATGTTGCTATGAACACAGTTGAGAAATATGAACAAAGGAGTCAAGACCATGATGGGAAAACCCACAGCATCAGCTGACCAAGCTAGTGAGAGATCACTGACTCAGGTCTGACAAATGAGGAACCGGAATAGAACCAAACTAGACTCCCTTAATATAGATGACAATGGTGTGGCTGGGACAATATATGAGGCCCCTGACAGTGGATCCAAGATCTAACTCAGATGCACAAACTGACTTAGTAGAACCCATTCTATATGGGGAGATACTTTGTCCAGTCTGGACACAGGGGTGTGGGGGGTGCAGAGGTGCCTTGGTCCTGCCTCAATGAGATGATGGGACAGACTTGGTAGACTTCTTAGAGGAGGCCTTACTTTCTCTGAGGAGCAGATGGGAGGTGGCAGGGAGGGAGGGGAAACTTGGTTGGAATATAAAAAATAAATTAATAAAATGAAAATACAAAAAATTAAATATACTAAGAAAACCAATAAAAGAAATCAGGCTGAGCAAGGCATGAGGAGCAAGCCAGTAAGCAATGTTCCACAATGGCCTCTGCTTCAGTTCTGCCTCCAAATTCCTGCCTTAGCTTGGACTATGACCTGGATACATAAGCCAACTAAATCCTTTCCTCTTCAAGATGCTTTTGGTCAGTGTTTGATAATCACAACAGAAGCCTAACTAGGACAATAATGCATTCTCTGTCTCTGCCTGGACCCAAACTGGCCTCTTGGATAAACTACACACCCAACCCATCCTTACTGATGCTCTGGAAGTGGTACCAAACTTGTGTTCCACTTCTTATCTGGGCTATGATGATAGTCTAGGATGCTTTGGGGGGGGCTAGACGATATCTACCTAATGATTTATAAGACTCATTCTCTCACCTCCTTCAGGCTTCTGCTCCCATGAGACTGTATGTTGCCAGGACCTTCAAACATCCTATCAAAAGCTCCACACTGAACAAGTTATGGAGATGACTGGTGCTGATTATCATACGCCAGTGGGTATAGACTCAATGCTACTGAAATGTGCACTGAAAAAGTGGTGAGTCAATTACATTTTTCTGCAGTGCTCCATCTCACCTGTTCAACTTTTCTCTCCATCACTTACCAGTATCAGTGCTGTATATTGACAAGCGATGGACAATATTCCTACACAGTTGAAGGTATTTCCACAGTGAAAGTGAGTTCCAATATGGCAAGTGCTTTATTTGCTCATTGTTGTATCATTGTGTCCACAACTATACTGGATATATTAAAGATATGCCTAAAGAATTTTTTTTTTTGGTTTTTCGAGACAGGGTTTCTCTGTGGCTTTGGAGGCTGTCTTGGAACTAGCTCTTGTAGACCAGGCTGGCCTCGAACTCACAGAGATCCGCCTGCCTCTGCCTCCCGAGTGCTGGGATTAAAGGCGTGTGCCACCAACGCCCAGCCTAAAGAATTTTTGAATGAATTAATGAATGAACAAATGAAGGAAAAAAGCAATAAAGTTAGGTCCAAAATTAGTATCTCTATGCCTATGTTCTCCCTTCTAATTCAGTCCATCCAGAACACTGACTCCAAGGTTATCAGGGTTATCTTAAAAACACAGACATGCTCTTATTATTGTTCCCAGGCCATAAATTTTTCCATGTTCAAGAAAAAAACTGCAAGTGTTGTTTTTCAAAATAGAAAGAAAAATAAGGGCTAACATAATTTCTCTAGATTCCAGAGTCTCACATAAGAATAAGGATGTTTTATCATAAGCATAATGATACCATGAATAATAATAATAATTTAAAAATCCTCCAAACTAGCTGTGACCTGTTATTATGGTAGAGATCCAAATTTAGCAGTCAGCATGACATCGTCATTTCTTTGAACATAACAGTATCATATAATAATTAATAAGGTTATATAACTGATAAGCATATTCCCATATTCCTACAATGAGAAGGAAAAAAGGGATATAAACTTACCCCACCACACACACACACACACCTACCTTCAATGCCATGGCTTAGATGATGTAATTCCTACTTGTCATCATCACCATCATAATCATCATCTCTGCCACCACCTCCCATCTGTTAAAGAGATCAGGTATTAGGGGTGAGGGTGTATCATCTCCAAATTGATAGTGTTTATTTACTTAGCCCTACTAAAATCAAAGTTATTCTCAATGGCTAAATAAGATTATAAGATCTTACAGTTGAACTCACTATGAAAAACTGAAAGCTATTATTATTGTTATTGTTATTGTTATTATTGAGACAGGGTTTTGTTATATGGCTCTCGATAGCCTGGAACTTGTATGTGGACCAAGCTGGCCTTGGACTTGAGGATCCTGCTGCCTCTGTCCCCTTAGTGCTAGGATAACAGACATGCACCACCATACCTGGCCTGAAAGTGATCATATTTACAGTCTTCACATTTTTGCTCCTGATGGCTACATCTCTAGCACAGGTGTCTAATACCATTCTGTGGACTTATATACCTAGATAAGAGCCTTGTCGAGAGTTGGATTTGCCTCAGTGACTGTGGGAGACCAGCAATGAACAGCAGCATGGTGCTCAACCCACCATGTCTCAGGTACAAACAGTGCAGCTCCCCAGCTGTGTGAACTCCTGACCCCTGTGACACATCCTTTCTCTTCCACTAGAGAAGCAGGAGCAGTGGGCAGGAGTGAAGGAACCTGTAGACCAGGCCCACCTGGATGCCTTCCTCTCCCAGAAGCATCAGTCCCCTAAAGGAGACGACACTGCCCTGTCACTGACCTACCTGAGTCTACACTGTCCTTCTCTGGTCATTCTGTCTCTTGAGTTTCTTCTTTCTTCCTGAGGCACTCTTCTCTGCAGCTACCTTTAATTTCAGGAAGAGGGGGGATGACCAAGTGACCATTATTTTTATGATAAGGAATATAAGTAGCCCTAGCAACAGTAAGCCCCACAGAGTGATCACCCTCCATGAAACTGCTACCAAAGAGGGGCCGTTCCCCATGAAGTGAGGCTGCTTGGCATGTGAAATAATCATCTCCGGGGAACCAGACTGCTTCCCTCAAGAGATCAGAGGTGATGACATCTCCAGAACTCTTGCAGAACAGTGACTAAGATATGATGGCTCAGAACATCAACAGATTAAGATCACCTGCTTAGCAGGTGTCCAATTCTTCCTCTGCAACTCCCCCCCTCTCCCCGTAAGAACTCAAAGTTCCTGTCAGTCCTTAAAGAGACAGGGGGTCACAGAACCACATGTGTGTCATGTGTCACACTGGCTGAAGCCCCTCTCTACCTTTCCTCTCAGCTCTTCTCCTTGATTACCACTAAGAACGGCAGGCCAGCCCAGGCTATCAGGACTATAGAATTTTGGCTTTAGCCTTCAAACTTCAGGAAATAATAAAAGCAAGCTCCACTGGAATTTCTCTGTCTACCTCTTCTTCCTAGTTTACATTCCCTTCCTCATCTTCCCCGCCTCTGCTTACCTGTAGCCAAAGGGTCTATTTATTACATTCAGTTACAGTTGGGAGTAGCAGCGCATGCCTATAATCCCCACACTTGGGAGGCTGAGATAGGAGAACTGCTATGCGTTAGAACCAATCTGGGCTACACTGTGAGACTTTGTCTCAAATGAAGTTCAGCTACGAGGAGGAATCCTCCAGGAAGATACTGAACAGTAAACAACCCCAGTGCAGCCAGGCAGAAAGCAAAAGGACAAAAGCACAGCACACAGCCTGCGCAGAGACTGTCGCTGCCTGTTGGAGCCAACACTGATTATGTCAAGCACCGGAACGGAACAGCGAATGAGCACTGACTCCTCACGGGGCCCACAAGGTAACTGAAGGCAGGATGAAAGCCAGTGTCTCTGCCCTCATTCTGTGACTGTCCCCTGTACTTGGGACTGTCTGCCTATTCCTGCACACAGACATTGGAAAGACCCAGAGGAGTTTATGTGTAGAAATGAACCCACCTTTCTCTCTTTAAGCTAAAGACACAAAGATCAGAATAACTGAGGTGCCTTACTGTGACTTTTTACAATGTCCTGTCCCAGAGCCCCAAGAGGCACCAAAAGTTCTCCTGTCAGCGCCTGGAGAGATGGCTTCACACAACAGTCACTGCCCCACCCTAGTGGGGTCATTTCTCTTCTGATGACAAGGCTACAACCTGGAGAGGGCCATCTCCTAGGGACTATATTGATCTCCTTAAGCAATAAGGACTTCTTTGTATCACCTTGCAGAATCAGAGCTGAGATCAAATGAACAGATGGACAAGACCTTGACCAGACCTGCTTAATTATGCTGGCTTCTTACCTCCCCCACATTCTAGTCTTTCTCTATTTGAACCTAAAACTCATGTCAATACTTGACAGGTGAACTTGGGGTCATCAACCCCTTTATTTGTTCCTCTTCCCAATGTGCACTGTTTAAATCTCCTCTCTGCTTCTCACCATTACTCATCTTTTTTAATTGGCATATCCAGGCAGATGGCTGAGCCAAACTTGACAAGTTCTAGGAGCCAAGACTTTGGCCATAAAATTCTAGATCACAATTCTTTCCACAATCCATGCCATTAATTTCTTCTTATTTGTCCTATTTCTTCCACTAGAGCATAGATTCTTGAGTGGAGGGCTTACTCACTTTTTGTGGCTTGAATCAGACTATTCAATCGTGGGCTTCTAGAGTTTAATCATCTTTACCAACAATGAATCAATGGATGGCTCACAGCACCTATAACTACAGCTCCAGGGGTCCAGTCCTCATGGTTCCATGGATGTCTGAAAATACACACACACACACACACACACACACACACACACACACACACACACAGACACACAAATAAATAAATAAATACATGCAATTGTTGGCTGGCAAGATGGCTCAGTGAGTAAAACGATTGCTGTATAAGCCTGATATGACCTTGTAGAGTGAAGCCTTTTCCTTGCTAGCCGCTTTGGTTTTTCCCCACCAGTCGCCTGGGCTCTGCTGCGATGTAGTCCCCAAATAACACACAAGATGCTATATTAATTATGAAGCTGTTGGACTTGCTTGTTTCTTACTGGCTAGCTCTGACTTAACTACTCCATAATTGTTAATCTTAAGTATTTCTCTTACCAGAGAAAGGTCCAGCCGGACATCTTATTTCTCTGGTGGGCTACTTTGTGACTCCCTGTGTTTCTCCTACCCAGAGTCCTCCTAGACTCCTAGTCCCACCTATCTTGCTTCCCTATTGGCCAACAGTGCTTTATTGACATATACACAGGACTTCCCCATCATGACCTGAATTTGATTCCTAGGGTGTATATAAATTTAGAAGGAGACAATTGTCTCCACAAAGTTGCCCTCTGACCACCCCATGCACACCAAAGTACATGGGCCACCCCCCACTCACAGGCATACACATACATAATAAATAAAAATAAAGGAAAATACATGTAGCTCACTGCTGGAATACTTGACCAGTGTGAATGCAAGACCTGGAGCTGATCCCGGCACCTTCCACCTCCAATAATGGACAACTGACAAAAATCAGTCGAATGAATGAAATACTAGATAAAGGCAAACATACAGTGCTTAGCATCTTGGGTAAATTTACCAAGGCAATAATTTTGTGTATTTGGTTTTCTTTTTTGGAGACAAGGTTCTGTCTTGTAGCTCAGGCTGGCCTGGAACTCCCAATTCTCTCGCCTCAGCCTCCTAAATACTTGGATTGCATGTAACATCACACACAGCTACCAATGAATTTTTTTGTTTTGTTTATTTTCTTTTGTTTTTTGCTTTTTGGTTTTTGTTTTTTGGTTTTTTTATTAGATAGAATTTCTCTGTGTAGCCTTGGTTGTCCTGGAACTTCCTCTGTAGACCAGGTTGACCTTGAATTCACATAGATCTGCATGCCTATGCCTCCCTAGTGCTGGGAAAAGGTGTGTTCCACCACTTCCCGGTGGCAATTCTTTAACAGAAACACAGGTTCGACAAGTGTGTGTTAGCTATACCTTATCATTTTATAGTTTATTTTTAAAATGAGTAAAGACTAGAAACTTAGAGATTCAAGAATCATGCCATTAATCTTA